ACGAAAGCCGGGCGGCTTTCGTCAACGTCGGGCGGCTTATGGTCGCCGTAGGATTTATGTAATAAATCATAGACAAACAACGGGCGACGTTCGTCAAAGCCGGGCGGCTTTCGCCCCAGGCAGATATCTGTCCACTTCTTTGAACTTTAAACAGGCTGGGTTGGCCATATAACTTATACATTCCAACATTTATATTGTTTACAAGGAAATAACATCAAAAGTTCAAGAATTTACCCGCGACGGAGTCCGGGTTAGCACGTGCATCGGCTTCCGTAATCGCATAGACCCTCGCTTGGGTCCTCCCTTGATTCACGGACGGTGCATTACTTGTGCTAGCTCCACCGTGCCCCGTGTTTGCGTGAGGTGCCGCTGTCCGGTTCCTGCTCATCGTGGTCCCACCACTCGGCCCCGCACTCACGGCTCGCCCAAGTTGTGGGCAACTCGACCTCATGTGCTCCGTATCACCACATTGATAGCACCTCGGGGGATCACGACACTTGCCCACGTGGTTCCTCTTGCAATTCTTGCATTTTGGCGCTTTTGAGACTTGTGATTCCGAGTGTTGTCCACTCATTCCCGGGTTTCCTCTAGATGGCGGTGCAGGAGTCCTAAATGAGCTCCCTCCCCCGTGGTTCCCCTTCTTATTGGAACCTTGGGAGCCTTGGTTCTCCCATTTTCTTTTCTTTGCCTCCTCGGCATTCCTCCGCTTTCTTTCTTCCCATTCTTTCTCCCCCTTCAAGCCTTGCTCAACAACTTGACTAAACGTCATATTAGGCAATTGTGTTGCCCTCTCGCGTATGTCAAGGTCCAAGGCATCCCAGAAGTGGTTCACCATCCGGTTCTCATCACATATGTACTCCGGAATGAACTCGGCAAGCTCCCTGAACTTATGCTCGAGTTGCCTCACGGTATACTTGCCTCCTTGGGTCAAGTTGGTGTATTCCCTCCTCTTCAAGTTCACCTCGAAGTCGGAGTAGTATTGGTTAAAGAATTCTTGACGGAAGTTCTCCCAAGTGACTGCCTCACCATACTTCCCCTTGACACCGTCCCACCACGTGGACGCCATTCCCTCTAGCAACCTCGTTGCCACTCTCAACTTCATGATCGGCGGCAGCTCCATGTCAAGAGCCGCTTCGTTGAATCTCTTGATCCACTCGGCCGCAATGGAGATGTCTCCCGTTCCATCAAACGGTTTACACCCCAAGTCTCTTGCCTCCTTGAGGTACTTTGAGATCCTTATTATCGGGACCTCGGTACCTCGATCATTCCGGGACTCTACATGTCCCCTAGAACCCACACGGCTTCCTCCCCTGGAAGCCCCTCCCAAAGCACGCCTTGCCCGGCGCCTTTGGCGATCCTGTTGGTATTGACGGAGCAGCTCCTCCATCCTTTCTAGAGCGTCATCATCGTCGCTCTCATCATCATCATCATATTCCCCATCATATGGGGTCTCAACCGGCTCGGTTCCCGGTTGATACGTCGAATCCTCCTCGGAATCGTATTGTTCATCGATTGTCTCCACATGACCGTCACTCACCGTTAACGAGTGACCCGCACGGTCCTGCCCACGAGACGCCCTCGATGCCCCTCGACTGCCATGTTGGGATCCTCCCCGTGCCTGGCCAGTCGGGTTTCTTCGAGTGACTTTACCGGTACGTTCCATTTCTGAAAGAGATAGAGATTGAGTCATTAGACCCGTATCACATGTCAAATGACGGATAGGCACTTAAAGACATCCCTTGGCTCAAATCGCCGCCATGCCAATTGTTAAGGGTACCATCTTAACAATTAGAGACCTTGCAACTCAAGTACCAAAAGTTCTATAAGTACAAAACTTTATGCTCATGGTTTTCAAAATCATTTTCAAAAGGATTTTGAAGCTTCATTATGAAGTTTATGGACTAAGGCTCTGATACCAATTTAAATTGTCACGCCCCGGACCTACCGGACACGTCAACAACCCGCCGTACAGTACGAATAGTCAACCGCAGTCCAACTCATCCATACTATACTAGGCGTCATGAATATCATTCACAATAGTACATCCATAAACAATCATAATGCAAAATATTTAATCAAGCAGCGGAAACGTTAATACAAGTATCCATGCCACACGTGGCAAACACGGGCGTACAAGCCCCAATAAATATTCAAATAGTATCCATGAGCAATATTTAAAATGTTTTCAAAACAGGAACGGAAGAAGCACGAACCACGTCTCCTCCCTTGAATCTCCCCGAAGCAACGGCGGCGGTAGCAACCTTCAAGTCCTACCTGAAACTGTGAGGTGGCCTCCCCCGTGAAGGGGAGGTCAGTACTTGGAAGCATTTGACAAGTACAATGACAACTATACTAAGTATAATCAAAGTTTCAATTTCCAAGACCCTCACATAGGGTGATAATATAATATAGGTCATAACCCGTGGTTACCCTCTTTGAAAATATACTTACTTTATATATAAAGTCAAGTAGTCGGCCCGAAGACCCATGTTTTACTTTAAAAACGTTCAACCCTTTCCCCGTGACTTCAAGCCACGCCCATCTATATTAATTCACCATGCTAGAGGCTTCCTCTAGTCATGTTTTACCGTGCTAGAGGCTTACTCTAGTCACTAAATTCGGTGTTAGAGGCTTCCTCTAATCACCTTACATACTTTGTGCTGGAGGCTTCCTCCAGTCACATTACATTATGCTAGAGGCTTCCTCTAGTCATCCTACACGAATGCTGGAGGCTTCCTCCAGTCATTCTTCATCGTGCTAGAGGCTTCCTCTAGTCACGATACTAGTTCGTCCTACACGAATGCTGGAGGCTTCCTCCAGTCATTCTTCATCGTGCTAGAGGCTTCCTCTAGTCACGATACTAACTCACTAGCAAATTCTATGCCTAGAGTTCCTCAATCTTGAGTAGCCAATGAGGCCTACTCCTAATGTAACTTAGTGGTTACCCATTCCTACCTTAAGGCATCTCATAAGACTACTTAAGGTGCATCCTTCACAATCCAAGTCCTTAGGATTTGTTCTATCACTTTTTATACAACATGCCCGATTAGTAAATTAAATACTAATCCATAAATCTTTAAACAGTCAAGCTCCTTAACTCATAGTTATAAGGCTCATTCCTATGGATTTTCTAATCCGTATACGATTTAATCTCAATATCAAAAATATCACTTTTATCCATTCATGATTTCTATACATGAAGTAAAAGTATATTTTATCACAAAAATTCATGGTTTATACAATCATTATACCTCCACATTTATTATGCATCATCATACACAATCTCTCATAAATTTGTATGTTATGCATCTTCTATTCACAAACAATGATATTTTCATTTAGGCATTATTAAGCATTAATAATCCATGAAAATCACATTTAATTACTTTAGGTAATCTTATGAAATTAACCCAAAGATTATAAGCAATATAGTCAGCCATCCTCACCTTGTGATGTGCTACAATAGTTGCCTTTGCTAAGCCCCTCGATCAATCCCCGTTCTAGGCCGATTGAAAGTGAAATTTCTGGACAGCAGCCAAAAGCCGGGCGGCTTTCACAAAAGCCGGGCGGCTTTCGTGGTCTGCAACTACGAACAGCTTCCTTGAAGTGGCGGTTTCCGGTGGTTTCAACTCCTATCGATTCCACGACTCTTCTAAGTTAAATACCACTACTTTATAACAATATTCTACACTTTTAAACGTGTAGAACTTCATGTTTTATCCACCATATGATTTACTAAAAATCATACAACAATAATACTAGTTAAAAGTGTTTGTTGAGTTCTTACCTCCAACACACCTCCTTTCCTCTTGGGTTTTCTTCCTCCAACAATGGAGTTTGTGAGAGCTTTTTCCCTGAGCTTCTTACCCTTTGTTTGGCCGAGAGAGTGCAAGGGAGATGAGGGAAGATGCCTTCTCAATCAACACAAAATGATTGTGTGAGAGACATAGGCATGGGCTTTTGTCTCAAAGGAGACTTCTCCCTTCAATCATCCGCACAAACCCAAAATGTGTGGTCCCCCTCCCTTATTATTTGAGTCTAATTAGTGTGTAGGATACCCCAAGTGGGTGTAGGAAGTCCCTCCCAATTATTCCTGCTATTTTGGGCAGGTTGGGCCAACATAGCACTCGGGTTGTCCAAATATTTTTATCAACTTTAGTTGGCACATCATTGGACTCCTAGAATTATTATGATAACCCAACTAAATATTTGGTAGCCCATTCTCACATAATGGACCTGATAAATAATTTAATTAATCGCACAATAATTAAATATACCAGTCAATTACACGAATTTTATTCGCTAGGAAATTTAAATACATATCAAATTCCGAATCCGAATATATTCGGGTGCGGTGTCACATAGTCGATTGTGTACGGGAGAAAGTAAAATCGGATTACAATAAGGATTTCTACGTGGAGGAAGACGGGAATTGGTTGTTGCAAGGATGGAAAGGAAGGGTTCACCATGCTGTCTCCTGGTGGAAGCCTAATAGCAACTAGTGAAATAGTTTGTTTTAATGCTGAATAGCCATGTCTCTTTTTCTTTCAATTATCTTTATCGTTAATTAAGTTCATTCAGTTCCATATTGTCAGCGTGGAGACAGGGAGGGACTGGAGGGAACACCGGTCCTCCTAAGAAAAAAAATTAAGTATATATTATGTATAAAGAGTAGCATTCTCATCAGGCTGGCATGACGAGAACCATCATCAAGTGTAGATTATCTCTACAAAAATTCAGATTAAAATTCAGTCGAGAAGTCACTTGAATAAATTATTGAAACATATTGCGTGTTATTAATATACATAAAGCGCAGTATGATTCAATATTTTATTAAACTGACTTCCCAATTGAATTTTAAGAAGAAATTTTGTGGAGATAATCAACACTTGATGAAGAATATGCTCAAAAACAATTCCCACTGGGAAGGGCCCCAAATGGCCTCAGCCTAACGGCGGTTCAGCGGTTCCCGTCTGGCCTTGAATTGTTCTCTATGTATAAATAGTTTTAATTTATAGAAAATATATGTTGATGTTTAATTTTGTAGAAAATATTTTCAGGGTCCAGCCTCTCTAATAATAGATTTGTGGCTCCGCCAATGAATATTATCATACTTAACATCTATTCGTGTATAAAATAATTAGGTTAGAATAAGATGGTCATGTAGTAAGCTAAGGTAGCTGGGAATTGCTTACCATACACTTCTCTTGGAACTGGAACCTCCAAACGCCAAGAAACTCAAACAAGACTGTATGCAGGTTAGTCACTTTCTTTTGCATGGTCACAGAACTTAAAACGTTTTTAGGCCTAAAATCATAATACGTGTGCGGATAAGAATTCTCTTGTTGCAGCCCCGTTTCGTCGGCGAACATGGAGGTGGAATTGAGTTTCGGATATTCGTTTGAGTTTTCTCTTTTCGGCCTGGAAAGCTTTGTGGACAAGTACAAGACGATGGAGATTAGCGCAGAGGAAGAAGAACTGGATCTGAATAAAGCTGATGTTGAAGTTGTGGTGGATGAACGGTGGGCGCGTCGCCCTCCTGAGCCGCCGCCATGGAGTGCAAGTAAATCTAGGGTTTGGAAGAAGATGGATGAATTCATTTTTAATTTCGTTTTATTCAGTTTGTGTTTTTCTGTCGAATTGCTTGTTGTTTGGTTCAGTTTTGTTTTTTTGTTTTTGCTTTATTCCTGTTTGTAAGACGTTGTTTTTGGATGTGGGGGATGAGAGGAATATGATGACCGTTTTTTGCTTTTGGTTTCCCACTTATGGATCAGCGAATTATATTGCTTCTCTGGAGGTGATTAATTCTGAGTCTGGTTCGCGGGATAACGGTTGTCAGATTTATTTTTGTCATTTGACTCATACTCTGAATTATCTGTTATCAATGTAAGCCGAATTCTTCCAAAAAAAACGTGGAGCAATAAGTAATGTTTTACATTAATACTAAAATTATTACATATTAATGAGCATGCTCATTTTTATTGTGAGGAGGCTGATCGGTGACTGATGAAGAAATCGTTGATCTTTAAAGAAGGGAGAATTTGACTTTGCAGCTCATGTTTTGGTTAATATTGGACTTAACACCACATTTTCAAAATCATTAATATTTGCACCCTATTTCACTATATAATCATTTGACTTTGCATCCCACTCTTTCACAATTTTTGAGCTAATGATATGGGGTGCAAATATTAATGATTTTGAATATGGGGTGCAAAGTCTAATATGGCCTAAAACATTAGGTGCAAAGTCAAATTCTCCCTTTAAAGAACTAGAATGAGGGAAGGGTAATTAACATTTACTGGGTAAAGGGAAACCTAATGGACGACTCACGACTTGAGGAGACTGATCGGTGACTGATCGAAAATGTATCTCCTTCACAAATATTTTCAAGTTATTTTATATGGTTTCTTCCTAACAATGTCTAGGGTTTGTGTATTTCTCGTTGATAAAACTGGCCGATCGGGCGTTGAAATTTTAATGTAAGTGGATGACAATGCTGATCCTGCTTAATTTGTTTGGGAGATTAACTTCAGACATCACCGACTCCAAGACTTCAATTATTCGCCCTCCTCCTGAACCACCACCATGCTATGACAAAGAGATAATGTTTGATTGTATCTTCTTTTCGGTGGCTGGTCAAACCGGTGATATTTACAATTTCTTACTAGTAACTGGTCAAACTGAGGATTCTAGTTGTTTCTTTCTTGCGGTTGGACAAACCAGATTATCTATTAATTTTTTCCTAGTCGGTGGATGGTGAAACCAATTTATATGTTTTTTCTATCGCAGATAAGTACTATGTCTAGTATCGATTATTGGTTAAGTAGCAGCTTCTATGTTGATAGAGGAGTCTACATCTTTGTGGGGTTAGCGAATTGTTATGTTCCTTTGAAACTATTCAGTTCTATATCTTATCCCATTGTAGCTTAGGCTATCATCATTACTTTTGTACTGATCATTTTTATTATTAATAAATACTAGTAGTTGTTTTTCTTTCAAATTAAAAAAAAAAAACAGAATGAGGGAAGGGTATGTTGAGTAGGAGGTTGGGTACGGTGAAACACCTGATAAACTCGACATGGTTTGGGATAAATCATTTCCATCATCCATTGTATAGATCTAAGGGCTTGAGACATATACCTTTGCATTTCAGTAATAAAAACAAACAACAAACTTTTTGTTATCCAATACTTTGAACGCTAATATTCAACTGTATATTTCATTGCAGAATAATATGCATCATTTTGAACATCAATATACAATACAAATAGCGTAAAGATGTATTGTATAAAGATTTATACAATAAAGACAGTTTATACCGGATCTGTCTATACAATTAATCATGTCCCGGATATACTCCGAATATGATAAAGCTAAGTTTCTGACGTAGTGACATGCTCCTAAATGCGGGCAGGCTTCAATTCGCGGGCACACGAAAACTTCAGATCTCATTGTTATTAGAAACATGCTTGGTGTACACTTTTTTGTGTACATTTTTCGTACACCCGTCTGTCTCACGCACACAAAGTTGTCTGTGTAAGAGAACTCTGTAGGCCCTACAGTATTGTCTGTGTACAAACAACTTTGTGTGTGTGAGACAGGCGAGTGTACGAACTATTAGTATAATGCATCCAAAGTTAGCAAAGCAAAATAAGTTACGGTAAAGTATAGAGTATGATTCAATTGACACAAATGTTAAAGTTCCGTATTGATAACCCTTATTTTTAGAGCCCGTTTGGAGACCCCTTTTTTCGGCTTATCAGGCTTATCAGCCAGCTTTTTCACCAAACACGTAATTTTTACTTTCGCGTGCTGAATTGTGTAATAAGCAGAAAAAGTAAGGTTGGAGTTACTTTTCTGGCTGTATTGGCTGAAGTTACTGTAGATGACCATTTTAGCTATTTTTACATGTAATTTTTTCTTTATTTTATTAATAAAATATATTTTTGAAATATTTTTTTCTAGAATCAGCAGAATCAGCCAAAACAGCCACTTCAGCCAGAACTTCATAAATTTCAGCAGAAACAGCCAAAACAGCCGATTTTCGTGCTACCAAACGGGCTCTTAGTTTATGAGTTATATTTTGTCAAATATATAATTTTTGATTTTATGCGTTGAGTTGTACTTCCTCTATCCCTTAAAACTTTGTCAAGTTTGACTGACACGAGGATTAATGCACGAGGAGAGAGAATTAACTGGAATCACAAATTCTTTATTAAAAAGAAAAAGTGACAAAGTTAGTGCTACAACAAAAAAAGTTGACAAAATTTTAAGAGATAGATGGAGTGTAATAATAAAAATTAGTCAGGTTAGAGTTACTCTTCTGACTAAAGCTACTATAGAGGAGTACTTAGTTGCATATGTTTTCATATATATATATTTTTCTTAATTTAATTTATAAATTGTTCTTTTTTTTTATAATCAGCAGATTGAGCCAAATTAGAATTTCATGAGATTCAGTATTATCAAACAATCTCGAAAACACATGGATGACTTTGGAACAACTGGTCAAGATAGCATTAAGCTTTACTTTACGAGAGAATGTCTTTAATAGGACTAAAACTGCTCCGTTTTCTAAAAATAGAATCACGTAGTTTAAACTTCCATGAATACTCCCTCCGTCCCATTTTACATGTCTTACTTTCATTTTTGGGTTGTCCCAAAATAAGTTTCTCCTTTCCGGTTTTGAAAGAAATATGTGGTTCAAAAAATTTCACTTTATTATACTCAAATCTCAACCATAACTTTTACCTTTTCAATCACTTTATTAAAAATTGTGTCAAAAGCAAAGGAGACACATAAAATGGGACGGAAGTAGTACGTTTTTTTTTGTGATTGGACATAAATACTTTGATAAGGTTGGAGCTATAGCTCCCAAATTGCCCAAGTCGCCAGACTGTCGCTTGCCGTAGGACCACCGGTCGTCGTAAATATTTTTCAAGAGAGTTCCTCCGTCCGCCGAAATCTGCCACGCCAGAGTTACTACCACCATCATGGACTGCTCTGCGACCAACAGGCTAACTTTGATTATGCAAAGGAACTAGGGGTAATTAATTAGGTTAATTATGTAATTAACTAACTAAATTAGGGATAGAAATGGAATTATTAGTATTTAAGAAAACCAAACATATGACCCTATTTTTGGAAGAATGCTACTCTCCTCATCTTATTTTACTTATTTTACTTTCCTTTTTGGGTTGTTGCAAAATTAGTGTGACATTTTCTTTTTTTGGAATAAAATATGTGGTCCGTAGCATTTCACTTTATTATACTCAAATCTCAAGCACACCTTTTACTATATTCAACCATTTTAGTAATATTGTGTCAAATCAAAACAAGACACATAAAAGAGGATGGGGGTAGTATTTTTAGTCCTACTAAGAGCATTTTTCTCTTATTTTATATAACCCTTTTGACAATGGGATAAATGTGAGTAATGCACTTATTCAGAAAAGTGAAAATGTGTTATTAATTAAATCAATAGAGTATGAATGAACTAAGAGTGAATTATAATTATCCAAATATTATCAAATATGATACTGGACAAAGATGGGAGAAGAAAGGAGTAATCCGTAGTGAGAACATGCTGCCGGCTAGCTTCACAAGTCTCCGTTTGACATGATCAGTTGATCACAGGAGCTTAATTAATGGGTTGCCAGTTTACCACGCTAAGCTAATGCGATGTTCGACGAAGGCTCCAGTCGCTTAGTGTTTAATTTGCACTTTGTATTTGCAAATTGCAAGGCATTTGTCAACGTATAATAAGACTCAAACTATCTATATATGAGAAACCTTTTGTAGCCAATATCGACTAAAGAATGGAATTGGTCGGAATGAAAAATAATACTTCCTCATTTCTTTATTATTTGTCTTGCATTCCATTTTGGGACGTTTTTATTATTTGTCTCTCTTTCTATTTTAGGAAAGTTTTTGATATAATACCCCCACTTTTTTTACTTTTACCCCTCTTACTTTTTACAAACTACTTTCTCTTTCCTACTTTATCATAAATGTACTCTACTTAATATACCCTCTTTCCTACTTTATCATCACTTTATCACCACTTTACTCTTTTTAATATTCTCTCTTTCTTACTTTATCATTTACCATACACACTCTACATTTACCCTACTATTTTTCTATTAAAACCCGTGCCCAAGGCTAGCGGGACAGATAATAAAGAACGGAGTGAGTACTACGTGTTCCTCCGAATATTATGCAAAGTTGAAAATATGTGGCCTAAAATTGTGCAGAAGAGAGAGAAAGTGGGAACACATATCGTGAACTACAAATTCCAAATTCTTTAGCAAAAAAGAAAGAAAAATTTATATTGAGACGAACGAGAAAAGAAAAAAATGAAGATAATATTACTACGTACTCCCTCCGTAACATATACTCCCTCCGTCCCAGGGAGAAGTTCCCGGGTTGACTTTCACACATATTTAGGAAATAAAGTTACTGAGGGGTAAGTTTTACTGTTTGGCACTGTTTCGACACTGTTTGGCACTGTTTCGACACTGTTTGGCACTGTTTGACACTGTTTTGATGTAGAATAACTTTCCATTTAAGGAAATGGGAACTTTTTGTTGGGACTACCAAAAAAGGAAAGTGGGAACTTCTCCCTGGGACGGAGGGAGTATATGTTCTCATTTGAGAAGTAGGTAGATTAAGAATAGTGAAAGAGGATATAAATTATTGAGGGTATGATGGGAAGATAGTGAAATAATGTGATGGAATGAAGGATAAATCCAAAAAAAATAAGTGTAATAGTGTATTATTTTTAAAATTATTGAGGATATGATGGGAAGATTTAGAAATGAGAAGATATGAATGTTAGGGAGGGAGTAAGATTTAAGACCAAAGGAGTAACGAAAAAACCCCCTTTGATGTCTTC